AAACGCGGGTGTGGTCAAAAGTACATTTGCAGTACAAATAACACACCGATATGATATTTACATACATAGTTTTTATTATAATTTACATCCATTGTTTGTATTATAAGGTACATGTTTATGTATTCGTCAGTGAAATGACGTCTATCCTGGGCATCTTTACCAGACGCATAGAAGCATACAAACATACACAACAGTATCATGATGCACTGATGTTATAGCCAAGTACATGTACATCCGATAGTCGCATACGTTGTTTTTGTTACAATACACATGTTTTATGTATTCTTCAGTCGGTTGGCGTATCTACCCTAGGCACATTCACCAGTCGCACAGAAGTATACAAACATACAAAATAGTATCAATTGATAGCACTGATTGTATTCGCGGGATCTACGTATAGACCAGCCAGTGCCCATCTGATGTGTGCAGACGGACACATACAAGTACATGTGTATGCGTGCACTTCACAATTACTGTACTAAACCTTAAACCCTAACCACCCTCACACATCCACTGCCTTTCTTATCCCCTTACAGTTCTATCAACGTCCGTCTCCTCTGCCCTGAGCTCGGCCGAAGACGATTCCACACGCGACCACAGGAAAGAGAGCAACGGAGAGAAATCAGACACAGAGCTTGTGCGTATGTACACCTTCTGCTCACGCACACGCAGTGGCAATATGGCCGCCATCTTTGTGAACCTCAATGCGGACAAGGACGTGGGAGTGAATCTGAAGACTATGTCGGATACCATCGACTTTGATCTGGTGCCCAGGTGTGTGCTTGGTTGCTGGCGGGTGCGTGGTTGTGGGTCTGGCGTGCCTTGCTCGTGGGGTAAATAGTATTTTTCTAATAACGTTTATGGTTTGTGAATCTCTTCGGCTGGGAAAGTGCAGATAGAAGGCCTTACTAGCAAGTTCGCTGAGGGTACCTCAGAAATAGGTGCATGTGTTATCGACATATATGCATTTGCGCAGTGTTGTGGCAAACGCCTATCAATGCGAATTTATCTTACGAGAGAGCTCTCTTGAATTTGCAGCGGAGAGTGCGGGACGACAAGTGGGTGGTGTGTCTCAAAATAACTTTTGAGATTAATAGAGTATGGTCACTCACGCTATACTACGCTGTATTGTAGTAGCTCCACTATATGCGGAAGAATAAAGCATCTATATCACACCAGGATAACATCCTAGTTGTGTGTCCCATTCATATTTATGTACATCCCTGTTTCCTAGTTCACCTGGATATCACCCTAGTTTCATATTTTTTTTTGTATATTATTATTATTAACCCGTCCTCGTTTCATACCTACCTTGGGCCCCACCTCTTTCACAGAGTGGAGTACATGCTGACCTCGACCGCTCTATCAAGCCTGGACATATATCTTAACGACAAGCTATTAAGTCTGACCGACACTGGAGCACTGCCAGATCTCAAGGGCCGAAGAGTGGTCCCAGGGTATTTTGATGAACAAGCGACCGTCCTACTGCAGCCTGCGTCGTACGCCATCATTGATTTCGAAGCGGAACTTGATTTATGCAAGGCATAGGTCAGTGGTGGTAGGCATATCTGCTGGTGTGTCTATATGTCAATATTTACAGGCCTCTTCTCTGCCATATCAGTCCTTCTGTGTCCAGGACATTTCGGCCCTAAAGTGCACTACAGCACACAACGCATGGCGACCACCTGGTACACAAGTTTCGGTCGAGCAGAGAACTTCACAGTCTGCGATTGCACCACAGAGTGGGGGCTCCCTCCGTCCCGCAAGCACCCCTTTTGAGTCGTCAAGGACAGTCCTTCCCTCGAGCAATTGGGCCGGGTTGTCGGATGTGCTGTGTGCAGCTGGATACTTGCTGTCACGCATACACATTGTCTGGCACATAACACACATATATCGCATGCTCAGTGCACGGCACCCGGACAAGCCTATGCCATACGGACAAAACGCACACGCACCTGCAATAGCCGTGCCCCTGGCGTGTGTTTATTGAAAGCGTATCCACATGCTCTATACTTGCACACACTTCAGTATACGCCAGTATACTTCTCCAGCGAGTGTGCTTATAGGCTGTGTACAATGCAATAGGTCAGGTGGGAGGGTGTGTGTGTGTGTGGTGGGTGGGGGGGGGGGGTGTGGCTAATAGCGTTCCCCCTCAGTGTCTCCATTGGACCAGAGGTGTGTTTGTACCTCTGGCGTGAGTGGGCCTCAGCCACCAAGCCCTCGAGCGGACGGAAGTAATGCATGGATTCATCGGGCAGAGTGCCGGCAGTACTAAGGGAGTGGTTCAAGGCTACCGGTCCGAATGGGTACAGTGGGTGGCTTAAGGCTACAGGTAATGGCAATAAAACAAGATGGACTTGAGCTCGGAATGCATGCCGTATCTGTGCGTGTTCAGTGTCGTGACATCCAGCACACATATTAATCCCAAGCAAGTCTTTTCAGGCTACTACATAGCGAGAACCAGTTGCACTGGGGTAGTTCAGGCTATCACTTGGAAACATTGGCATGTGGTGTATAAAGTGCAGCACCTGATGTATAGTGCCGTGTGATGTGCTCTCGTTGTATGTCCCGGGAGTCAGTTTGGTAGCCGTTATTGGGCTCATAGTTTTTTTTGGGTTTGTTTTGAATTGCGAGTTAGACTTTCCAGTATTTATTGGTACATGTTTGTTGTTCTGGTGAACTGGTCTCGTCGAAGTGGACTGTGTGACATCTGTAGTGGCCCACAGCACGCACACGCTACCGCCGCTTCGCTATCTGTATGTTCTAGATTGTATAACCTATCTACGGATACATAGCCCATCTACCAATAAAAAACCTATCTAGCTATAGTGCACGCTCCGTACATATAGTATACGCTCCGTACACATCTTCAGTATTCAGCTTCGCCTTGTCGAGCGTCGTTGCATGCTCGGCTATTGGCGGTACATAGCGGCTCTGCTGATTCTCGCTCGATAGGCAGCCACACAGGTCAGTCCAATATTCGTGGTTGTGAGCAGTGAGTGCCTGGGCCTACACCAAGGCCTCCTTATCCTTTGCTCATCTCTGTCTCTCTGCACCCAACAGTTGTTGATCGTTTCTGCTGGGTCACATATTCTCAGCTGTCAGTGCTGCGCCGTTTATACATATCTGATCCTGCGCACAAAACTGCTTCACGCGCATGTCTGAGTGCGTCCATGTCGGCTGCCTTGACCTCACCATAGGCTGTCGCTTGTCCTCGCTGAGCACTTGCGAGTAAGCATGTATGTATACACCTGTATGCTTCTCTCTGGAGATTTATGCAGATACGTCAGGTAATAAGGCACCTTTAAAAGCCGTGCATTGGTTTGCTGCACGCACGTAACTGATCAAGACAGCTCTGTGTCTCTACGCACATCACACAATACATAACCAACCAAGCATCCATTCGCTATACCCATGACCCTCTAGTAAAAAAACAATAGAAATAGAACCTAAATATAGGGGATCGAACGAACGTCCGGAGGACGTTATATTCTGATCCACACTAAACTCTGGCGACGTATTCCTGGTGTATGCATCACGTACGGCCCATGAACCCATCGACAACACTGCACAGTGCCATATACAGTGGGGCGTATGTCACTCGCCCCTTCGGAGATAGCAGTTCGGTATCATACGAGCACTTACTCAGACCATCCCCTGTCAGGTGCTTGGCTGTGAGCACTGCTACGCCCATGGCCGTTTTAAACCCTGTAGTGCCCTGTCCACATGCCACGTGTAGATTGCTGTACTGAGTGATAGGCCCCACAATCGCCATCTCGTCCGCAACGAACGGACGCAAGCCAGCGATCACCCGACCTGTATATAAAAATGAGTGCGCGTATTAGTAGATAAGTATGTTTACTTTGAAGGGCTGTGCGCATTTGAACAATGGGAGAACTATGGGAGGTTCAATTCCTGAGAATGTATGGTCAGTATTAAACATGTGCTCAGCCGTTTGCTACAGCGAGTACGTGGAGTTGCCATCTGCTGTGTAGTAATAGGTAAGTAGGTGAGTATGTTTACTTTGAAGGCTGGGTGCAATAGAGCTATGTGAGGTTCAATTGTTAATAGTGTATGGTCAATATCAAACATGTGCTCAGCCGTTTCTTACAGCGAGTACTTGAAGGTGCGATCTTCCGCTGAACAATTTATATGGACGACTCGGTTGTGAGGTCGCTTTCATTATTGAAGAAACTTTATGAAACATAGTCAATCCGAAGGGAAGTTAGATATATACCAATTAATAACTTATAAAAAGGACATGCAATACCTATTCAAAAAAGAGTAAGCCGCTCCAGGCGATAGCCTCAACAACAATTACCACAGCAAGTGCAAATCTACACACCTTTTTCTGTGAAGATTTGTTTACACGAAGGGAAGAGCAAGTCAGCTCTCTCACGCAGCCGTGAGCTGATGATTGGATCAGTGGAAGTATTCCGAACAGAAAATTCGCCTGCAGAAGAGATATACCTCATTAACATATCATATATATATATATATATATATATATATAATACACACACACACACACACACACACAC